CAAAAATAATAAAATAAATCATAATTTCCAAACAAAAGCTTTACTATCAAAGCTTGTTTCAAATAATTAATGTGCTAAAGTTATATCATATCCTTTTTTTATATTATATAGAAGAAGAGAAATATCGCAAGATTTTTAATTCCTACGTCATTGTAGATGCATTGCAACAACATATCATTCTTCACTTTTTATATCGTGCTCTCTCAAATTTATTGAATTCCAGACTTCATCACACTCCAGATGGTGTGGTGTTATGTAGCTTATCTTGCAGATGCTAAATAAATTACTGTATATTCCGGTGTATAACACGCACCTATACTTTTAGACTACATTTTTTTAATTTTTCGGTATATTCGCCGTATAACATCCACCCTTTTTCAAGAAGAAATTTGAAGTGTACATGTGTAATGCCCTTATCTTTTGAAACATTTATGCAAAGTATTATCCCCGGCTTTCGAACAATGGTATGTTTTTAAAACTACAACCCTAAAGCACAAGAACAAGGGAAGGGAGAAAAACTTATGAGTTTGAAATTTTATAAGGTATGTCGTTTCTTTTAAAGGAACAGCATTTAATTATACATGTAGTTCACAGTGGCGCACACAAGGGGAAGGTCCTCGTGTCCGGACTCCTCCCCACACACACACACAAATCCCTTGATTTTTTTCCGATTGACCATAATCCTATGTATATAGCACGTAAAATTTAATTAAGGAATTGTTATTTTCATGATTAATTTTATGAATTAATGCTAATTATCCTAATATATATTATAAACGCTAAAGTTTGTGAGGATGTTTGGTCGTCTTTCACGCAAAAACAACTGAATGGATTTTAATGAAACTTTACAATAATATAGATTATAAATCAGAATAACACATAGGTTAAAATTTATAAAGATACTGTGTGAAGTTTTCAAAATATAACGACTATTGTTAAGAAAGTAGGAAAAAATTCTGCCATTTGCTAAAAAGCCCATGACAGCATTCTTCTATCTTTTTTATCCCTTTTGTTTTGTCCTCAGTGCACTCTCGCTTTTAATTTATTCCGTTCATCAGTGTAATCAGTATTTTTTTTATTTCATAATAAAACTAGATTTCGAAGGGAGAGATGGTGGCAAGATTTTAACATAAAATAAATACAGCAAAAAGTAATATTAATGTATTACACTTCCTGATATAAATTATTTACACTATTTTAAGCGTTCATTACACAAAATTTGTAACAATGACAGTGGAAGGAAAAACTATGAAATTAAAATAAAATATCAAAATGTTTTTATCAGTTAGTTCTTTTTCTCTTTTTGAATGATTTTTTTTCAGTACATGTAAATATATATCTACGCTTTCCCCCATACTATTTTTTTATAACTTAGATGTATATATATATGTTTATTCAAGCATTAAAAAAATCAATCGTTTCAATAGCTATCTGTAGATTTTTCTTTTATTTATTACTTATAGAAAATGGATTTTAATTAATATGTATATATAAATATGTTTCTTAAAAGAACTATTACTATTATTTCATTACTAAATTAATTATTTGTTAATTAAAAAGTACATCGTCTATTATTTTGGATAAAAATATATTTCAGAGACATTTTTAGCTAACTATACGTAACGATTGATTGATTCATGAAAATCTTTGAAATTTATTATATTATTTTAGTTTCTTAGAAACTAACTATTATTAAAAAAATGATGAAAGTTTTTTGTTTTACTCTTAGCGCATTAAAATCGTTTTCTTTTTTTATTGCTGCACATTAATAATTTTTTAACTAATACAATATTGTTTTTTAAAAGTCATACATCGAAATTTGAAGCTATATCTTATCTGTGAGGGGAAGGGGAAGAGGGAACAATAATTTTACACTAAAAAAACCCCCGTGTTATGCCGGGCTAGAGAGAGAGGGAAAAAACCTGTCTTAAATCTCGAAAATATGTGGAACAAATTTCGAAAAAGGGAAATTTAATGAATTAATTTTAGAAATCACTCGCATTGCGCGCGTACAAACACACACACATAGTTGCTGGCGTCATGAGGGAAAGAGAAAGCCCGTGCAAAGCCAGGCCCTGCAACTAGTTTATTCAATAATTAAATTTTATTGGTTTTTGTTCCCGAAAATCGACGAAATCAAAAGGAGCATGATACAAGAATGGTGGACTTCCAAGTTATAAATTTCAAAAATTATACCCTCTGTACAGAGGTCTGGACTATGTACAGGCAAAATATTAATACATTAGAAGCATTTTTTACAAAAGGAGAACATTTGGAAGAAAAGGTTATTCTAAGTTAATTTTTTGCCAAAATATTGTATCTAAATAATTTTTTGTCATAATGTCCTTAAAACAATTTTATACATGTATTCTAATCTAAGTGACACTAAATATCATAAATATTATCCATTTACACGCTTTTGCAAAATCACGGTTCCGAACGTAGTCGGATACCTTGAGACTTATTCATCAAAATTGGAAATCCTTGATAAATTACGAATCAAATCTGTTTTTCATTTGTTAATTTTATTTTTATCTACTTAATTTTGAAATCATTTCAATTGAAGTTTTGCATTCTTACTAATATTGACTCATCAAATAAAACACTCATTTATTCGTACAACATTGTATCGAAAACATTCTATTTGAACTTCAAAAGGGGGAAGGATTTATCCAAACAAATTCTGTGAACATTCATTAAGTTAAAAGCATTAAGATAGTCCACTAATGGAACATAATTAGTTTAATGGAAGTTCCCTTTAAACTACATACCCTTAACATATTTACATTTTTAAATAAAACTTCAGACTCTGAGAATTCAATCAAATATTTTTAAAATTTGCTTCTATTCTCCCTAAATGCTTATAATTAGCTTTAAATTTCATTTGTGATGTACCGAGGCTTATTGGTTTTAAATCTCACCCGATCGAGAGCGAATGGAGCATTCTTCAAAATAAAAGCGTGAGTGCTTATGACCACACGATAGAAGTGATTTCAAATTTGTATAATGTTATTTCTGGGATTAGTTTTGTGAGTAAAAAACAAGGGGATATTAGTATTGTCCTATAAATTATTTATTCATATGTCTGTACTCATAAAGTAATATTTTTTTGCGAAATATAGAATCATATTTGGGAATTAATTGTATCCTAAGAAGGAAACAGTAATATAAAAAAAAATTTTAAGTCAATTCCTACTTAGATCAACAAAGAAAATTTTGTTTTAGCTACTTTTTATTAAATAGTTATAGTTATTATAATGTTATTCCTATTTAGGAAGGAAATCTTTTTAACATGCCCCTTTCTTGGTGCTAGGGGACTGGTATTTGGGGGATCGTAATTTCTTTTGTTATAAATTATATCTGTTGGGACTCATCCCCCTGGTGCATTCCTCCCTCCCCCCTCTACAGCTTTTTGGCCAATATCTCAGCACCCGAACCTCACAGTCCATTCGGACTTGGCTCTCATTCAATCTCTCTCTCTATCTGCTCTTCCAGTTATTATAATTTCATGCTCATAGGGCTATTTCTTTCATAGTTTTTCATTGTTTTAAACTTTTTAAACTTTTTTAATTTGTTTAAATTCACAATATCTTGGCTCCTGTTTGAGTATCGGACTTGAGATTTGAACCAACTGTTCCACTCGTCAAGACCCATCCAGTTATCTACTTCATTCCCATTGTGAAGTCATGGGAATGAAGGAAGGGCATATCAGGCTCCCATGTTAATTCTATGGGGACTGCAAAAAATTTCACACCCCCTAAGGAATTGAGCTTGGGATTTGATTTTTGGAGGTCGGCCATATTTTTGTATTAGCGCGAGCTTTACGTGGAATTGGACCCTTCCGGTGCTTCCCCCCCCCCCTAGGGGGCTTCCCCAGTAATAACTCGAATTCTACGCAACCTTGGTCGACCGTACCAGCTGGATTCGATTGTTCTCCCTATGAGCATCCTAGATATATTTTTTCAGGACAATAGCCCATTTCTTCACCCATATTTAACATTTTTAAATCATTTTAAAGTTTTAAAATTTTTTAAATCCCGATAGCTCCGAGGATTTTTGAGCTTCGTCAATGAAACTCGAATAATAGGTTCTCCTTGTTGAGCTCTTTCATCTGTTATAATTCGTGTGTAGATAGTGGGCCTAGGGGGTCTTATCATTAAAATTAGAGAGAGAATCCCCATGTTATTCCTATGGGGTTTTATCTTTCGATGACGTCACAATATTACAGAGATAGAAGGATAAAACTTCAGGATCACCTCCTACTCTGTGTATCGTTCGGATGTAATTGCCCATTTACGTCACAGTTGCTTCCCCTCCCCGGGGGAGTTAGTTTTGTTTTCGTTTCCCGAGCTAGCGCCGCCCCATTTGCAACTACAGACTCCTGATCGGTTCGAATGGATTTCTCTTGTATTTCCCCACAAACAGGCCGAGTTTCGAGTTGCTGGGTGCCCTGCTTCTATTTTATTTAATTGTTATGATCATAACTCGGGGGCTCTTCAGGCGTACGTCTTAATTTTCTCATGAACGATTCTTCACACCGAGACATTCAATATGAGGTCTTAGGTGTCACATTCGGTTCACCTCATCTCCAGATATAGTCTGTCGAACCCCCTCCCCCCATGTTATTAGTCATATTGTAATTGTGCGGGGTGTTTAAATTTATTTAAATAGTGATTATCTCGGGTTTGGCTGGTAAGATTGACTTAAGGTTGGTATCGTTCAACTCTGCTCGTGACCGCCTTTCGTCCTTGTCCCAGCTTGCCCCGCTCAAGATTTTTAGAAAGATTTTTATCTTGCTACGCAAAGAAGTATAACTTCTTACGTGCGTGCATAAGTACACACACACTTTTTTAAACTTGTAGAGGATGACACTTGATGTTAATACAGTATTTTCAAATATTAATTCTCTCTCTCATTAATACTATTTAATAAATAAATAAATAGTAACAAACAAAAATAATAGTCCAACACCATATATAAAAACGAAAATTGCTCGTTGTGCCCCTGTAGCTCAATGGACAGTGCTTTGGACTTCTAATCCAAGGGTCGTGGGTTCGAATCCCACCTGAGATGGCCTAATTTCTGAGAATGTGATTTATGAAAGAATAAATAGAAACAAACAAAAAATAATAGGCCACCACCATATATGGAAAGGAAAATTGCCCCTTAATATTGTGATTCTGTCATATGTATATACATATTTATATTAATTATTTAATAAAAAGTAACTAAAATAAAAAATTTTGTTGTTGACCTAAGTAGGAATTCACTTTAAAAAAATTTTTTTTATATTACTTGTTCATTGATAATTTGTGTGTGTGTGTGTGTGTTCTCTGAAAACTTTCCATTTATCTATCATCATCTATTAAACTTTCCATCTATTCGTAGCAGAAAACGAAAATCGCAGAAAATTGGTTTGCTATCCATATAAAAGAAAGGGGCAGATTGCTACCATGGAAAGTTTTATTCTTAACTCAACTTATGGGTTAATTTTTATGAAAATGTGAAGAGCGGCACTAATCATTCCAGACTGAACATAACTCAATCCAATGTATCGATCACTATCGCTACACTTTTTTTAATTCATCTCATTTAACCTTATCTAACTTGTTGGGAGAAACCCCCCACCAAAAAAAAAAAAAAATCTATTTGCATTTATTATATATAATAAAATTGGATTCTTATATTTAACTAGACACTATTTTAAACTGATACATTCAGCTAAAAATACAAAAAATATAAAACATGTAAATTGTTCGTTTTAAAAGTTCGATATTTGAGAAGATATAAGTGAGTGAATATTAACGTCACACTGTTCAGCTACTTGAAGGCTCTTGGCGATGGACCTCATAATTTTGAACCATGGCCAAGTAACGAGGTCGACACCCGAGCTCTTTATTATTGCGGTTCCTGAGATTTTCGTCAAATTACATAGATGATGAGTCTAAGTAATTGGCTTAGGATTTATTATTTTTAAATTTAAATTTTAAAAACTTAAATGT